TTAAAAAGAACGGGGGAGTGGATTTTACCATAGTTCCTAATGCAGCGAATGTCAGAAGGAGACCAGGGTATATCCAGGAAGTCTTGGGAGCAGACATGTAAGTTGTGTCAGGGTGAGTCATATAGTCAGGACAGGCTGTGCAGTGTGTGGATGCCTGGTCAAAATTAGGACACCGCACATGTCTGCCAAATGCTGCCTGTTGCCTTTAGCCCAGGCATTGAGCTTGCTGACGTAAGTTTGTAAGAGGTAGATGTCAGTTGCTTGAGGTGAGCCTAAGTTCATACTGCACACTCATCCAGAAACTGCCAAACTTAGGCTTTCCCTCTCAGCTTAAAGGCCAACCCCCACTCCGAAGGCCGGAATGCTTTTACCTGGCCAGTCAGATCATCCAGAACTTAGGTACTCAAAGTATGGTCCGTGGACCAGCAGTATTGGCATCTCCCGGGTGCTTCTTTGAAATGCAGAACCCCGAGCGCACCCCACAGCTACTCAATCAGAATCTTCATTTCAACAGATTTCCAGGTGACCTACCTGCACTAAAGTTATAGGTCCAGCTTTGGAAGAGTGGTCAGTAAAGGTGTACCACTAAGCATGAGAGAGAAAAGTGGCTATTATTGGTTCTGTATCAGAACCAGCCCATGTCTTATTCCCAGCTTATGAACTGGAAGGCTGAAAGGCCAGTAGCTTAAACAAACAATTATTTTGTGTATCAGACATAATTTCCGTATCTTGTAATAGTAAGTAGTTGCATAGAGGGCAAGAAAAAAGTAGTTATAGAAGAAAGTTAACCTCTGTCTTGCCAATGGGTTTCAGCCCCAGACAAGGTCACTATGGATTCAGTGAGACTGAAAAAATGACAGTGGAATGTTTTTGGGGTGAAAGGGTTATACCCAACTTTATTCCCACGGTGGCAGGTCAATCACTAAAATCCCATCCACTCAGAGTAAGTCTGCGTGCAGCAAGCCGGTCTCTGCTCTCCCGCAGCCGTCACCCAGAGCACTGGGTGGAGCTCTTTATATAGAGTCAGTAACAACATACTGCCCACATGTATGTAGTGAGCCAGCTGACCAGGGCCAGACGAGAATCCTGGCCACAGGAGCCCTCACTTTCTCCAGTCTCCTCCCAAAAAAGAAAGAGGAAAAGAAAGAGCCTGGAAATTTCCAGGGAGAAAAAAGGCTAGACTTAGCAAGAGGGTAAAATGGGTAAAGGATGGAAGTAGTGTAAAAAGAAAAAAAAGGGATGAAATGATGGAGGGCTGGAAAGGTTAGGGTGTTTGGAAAACAGGAATAGGTATCTGTGAAGAGGCAGTGATTCTCAACCATGGCTATACCTTAAAATCACCTACGATGTTTTTAAAATGCACCAGTGCTTGGGCCTTAATGCAGACCAATTCGATCTTCTGGAAGTAAGGCCTGGGTATCACTATTTCCTAAAACCTTCCCAGGAGATTCTAATGTGCAGCCAATTGAGAAACGCTGATGTTAAGGGTGGTGCTGTCAGTCAGCTGAGCCCCGCGTGAGCCACTTGGTTCCTGATGGTGGTCAGAAAGCCAAAGCACTTCAGCAATAGAAGCTGTAGGCAGCAAAAGAGGTGCAGCATGTTCTGCTCAAAGTAGCCCTTTTATTGCTGAAAGAGGGATTCTCTGTATCAATTATTTTACAATTAGGGCAGTGGTTCCCAAATTTGCTTGCTCATTGGAATCACCTAGGGAACTTCAGCAAGTATTGATGCCTCGGTCCCACCTCCTTTGATTGTGATTTAGCTGGTCTGATAAGTGGTCTAGGCTTTCAAACTTTCAAAAGATCCTAATGATTCTAATGTGCAGACAAGCTTGGGATGGGAAAAAAAGGGAGGCATATATAACGATCTACTTGACTATGAAAGTTTAAACTTAAGTATTGGTGTTTTCCATTTGGGTAATAAAATCTTAATCAGTAATTCTCAAACTTTGCTGCATATTAGGATCACTTCAAGAACTTAAAAAAATCCTCATGCCCAGGCTGTACTTCATACCAGTCAAACAACTCTCTGGGGGTGAGACCCAGGCATCAATATTTTTAGTATTTCCAGGTGGCTCCAATGTGCAAGTCATGTTTGACAACCAGTCATAGGCAGCACCAAGGTACTTAGATATGCAAATTCTTGGACCTCGCCTCAGACCTACTAAGGCCCAGCGATCTGTGTTCCAGCAGGCCTGCAGGTGACTCTTGGGTATGTGCTGGAGCTGAGTGCCACTGATCTGGAGAAAGGTGGCTGTCCCCTTACCACTTTCTCTACTCACACAGCAGAGATAAAAATAAGAGATGAAAACTATGAGTATTCTACATTCTACAATATAGACCTTCTTACTGTGATGTGTAAAAAAATTTCCATTCTTGTATTTTTTTCTTGAAATCCATCAGCCCATTATTTAGGATTGGTCAAGCTTAAAGTAAAAATGTCACTGCCAAGAGACATGCTTTTAAGCCTCATTTAATGTCGACCTCCTATTGCTTAAATGCAGTTGCTTTTTTATTAGGTGTCTTGCCTCAGGCAAGTTATTGGTGTTTCAGCCCCAGGCAAGTTCACTATGGATTCAATGTGACCAAAGAAATGACAGAAGGTTCTAGGGTGAAAGGGTTATACCCAACTTTATTCCCACAGTGGCAGGTCATTCACTAGAATCCCGTCCACTCAGAGTGAGTCTGCATGCAGCAAGCGGTCTCTGCCTCTAGGCCCCTCAGCCCACACAGCCATCCCAGTCTCTGTCCTTGGCATTGCCACCACTCCAGCCCTTACTCTGCTCTCTTGCAGCCTTGCAGCTGTGTCACCGTGCTGCAAAGAGCACTGGGCGGAGATAGAGTCAATAACAATGTATCGCCCACACGTGTGTAGTGAGCTAGCCAGCCGGGGCCAGGTGAGCATCCTGGCCATAGGAACCTTCACTTTATTCACACTCTTATTAGTGGTAAAATATTTTTTGTCTACATTCTTTACATAAAAATTACTTGGTGTACAGCACCAATTAAATTTGGACCATTGATGAAATTGTCAACACCTATCTCACAGAGGTATCAGCTAATTTTAAAAATTATTTTAAATCTCATTCATTCATCATAGAACCATTTGGAGTATTTCCTGTGTGCCAAGTGTTTATAGCTTCAGAAAGAGGGAAAACACTAAGATGAATAAGAAATATTATTTGCCCTCCAATACCTTTGAGCTTGGTGAGGACATAAACATAGGGAAAAAACTAAAGAATGATAATTGCCATTGGAGATAATGTGAGAAATGAGTAGAATGCAAGGAACTCTGCCTGAGGGAGGCAAGAAAGGTTTCCAGTGAGAAGGCAGTGCTGAGGTTCTCATGCGGAGTGCATGCCAGGCACCGAAGAAGAGAGGCATTTATCTTTCAGAGTTATTCAAGTTGTCTGTGTCTCTATGACCCTGAGTATTCAGAAAGGATGACTACCTTACATAAAGTGCAGTTTAAGAACACACAGGGCAATAAAGAGGAAGGAGGACAGATTCTTAGGGAGTAACCACTAGTGCCCTGCTGGGCAGCAGTGTGTAGGAACAACTGGTACGGTCAGGCGACTAGCAGTCCCTGCTCCTCCCAGTTCTTACTCTTAAGGTGGAATCTGCTGACTTTGACTCACAGACACCCACCATCTATATTGCCCAAAGATGAATGATTAATTGCATAACTGTCTTACTCCTTATGTCTGGATAGTCTTTAATTCCCAGAGAAGGCTTAATCATCTAAGCATCCAGATTAAACATCAAGGCAGTAGTTCAGACATATGCTCATTCACGGAATTCATATTTGGAGAGGAATCCAAGTGTTAGTCTGCCAGTCATATGCATGGTCCTCTGGGTAAGAGCCAGTAGGGTTTTCTTAAAGATCCACATTTGCATATTTAACACAGGGAAACCTATAGAATTATCTACTTAAAAACTGCTTATTGATTACTTTTTTTCTCCATCAGGTATGAAGATGATAAAAAAGAATGGGCTGGGATGTTGAAGGAAATACGTTATGCTTCAGGAGCTAGTTGCCTGGCAACACGTTTAAACCTGTTCAAACTGTCTAAACTATAACCGAGAAGGTAAAAAAACAGAATAGAATAGGAGGTGGTTTGTTTAAAAAATAGGGCTTTAATTTATTCTGTCTTTTAAAAGCCTACACGGAGATTCATGCAGAAATTATTCACTAAAGTATTGTCCAAAAGATTAAAAGTGGTTATCAAAAAGTTATTGAGTCTTCAATATAATGATCAGAGTTTAAAACCATTTTTTAATAAAAATTAAATGTTGGACAGATTATTTCCTTTGTTATCACTCAATTTATTGTAAAGGAGGTTCCTAATATAAATTGTTTACTAATGCTTTCATTTGCATTGTTAGAGTATCTTTACACTCATTTTCTATTAATAATGAAGTTGGAGGATGAAATACATACATCTATGTTATTTTAAATGTTCAAAATATCAAATATCAAAAACCCTTCCCTCGTGCTTTGAGATATGACAAGAATCTTGTGCATTATGTTGAAGAGTGATGTCAAAACAGAACTTTGGAACTGCTATTTAAGGTCTAAAATAAATCAGTCTCATTTGAAGAGGAAAAGTCTCTAAGTAAAAGTGATCAAATTCAAGTAGTCCCTCTTTTTTCTCCATTCTCTTTGTGACACTGGCATATTGTTTGTGATTTAAGTCAAATTTTTATATTTTTAAATTTAAAACCAGTAAATCAGTCTTCAAAACCATAATATATCCTATCCCCCATTCTGAATTTCTCTCCATAGCATTTAATATCATCTAAAGTAAAATATACTTTATTCATTTATTTTGACTAACACCCATGGCAGATATGTTATAGTCACTGCTGTGTCCCCAAGCATCTAAAACAATTCCTGGCACATAGTATGGACTTAAAGAATAAACTGCAGTTTCTTAAAAGCCACACATCTTTTCTGTTAAGAATTTTAAACAATTTCCCAATCAGATACTAGACGAAGTATTCCATTATAAAATGTCTATTTATTTTAATAGGTATGTAATTTACCTTAAAATGAGTCAGTTCTATGCTATTATTTTTTAATTGAGTCAGGCCACTTAAAATTAAGTTCATATGTGCCACACCATGATAGCTAATTTTAAATAAAAACTAAAATCATGATTTGCTTTCTCCAAATACACGGTCTCTCAGGTAGTCAATCCGAGCACCCTTTGTTGACAGTGCCATAGAGTTCCATTCAAAATGAGGGATCTGTAAAACAAACAATGTAGTTTGAATGGAGGTTTTAAAGCAACATCATGGAAGACTTATGTACTGACATGAGCGGGAGGAGCCTTGTGAAATTGGTTTCTATGAGCACAGCCTCTGGACCATTTTTGGAAGCCAGGTGGGCCCTTCTTCCAGCCAAAGTCCACAAGACCTATTTCTGCCTTGCAGCCCCTGTCATTCTCCTGTTCCTATAATACCAACAATGGACATTTTTTCCCCTACATACCTTTCCTATATTCATATACTACCCTTTATCTCTTATAATTCTATCCATCTCCACAGTGCCTCGCTCTCGTAAGGTAAACATAAAAATCAACAGATCTTCTAGACAATTATTTTTATTTATTATTCTTAAAAAAATGGAGACCTATTCTGTTTCAGAGATATTTTAATGTAACTTTTAATATTTAAAAACATAATTCTAGAACTTTCATATTAAAAGGAAACATGTATGAATAATGACTCTGGGTTTTTTAGAAGCTTAATTACATGAATACTTCGTACCTGAATTACACGATAGCCCAAAATTTCCAAATGTCGTTTTTTTGTAGCAGATTTTCCTTTTAAGTGAGGGATGTTTCTACAGAAAGCTTTTGAATCCAAAAATTCCAAAGCAATCCTATAGAAGATTTTTAAAAATACTTACTTCTGAAATCAAAAAATGAGAAACTGAATATCACAAGCCTTTCAGGAATAAGATTGTATCTTTATAAACTAACAAAAGCCCAATGAATATAAATAAATATATCAAGTTATTTTTCTATTTATATTAGTAATATCTGACAAGTAAATCTATTCATTGGAATTTACACCAAATTATAGTATCTCCATGCTTTCATCCATTTGTTTCTTTGTCCAATATATATTTATTATGCACCTACTGTATGTAAGGCACTGTGAAGGATAAAGAGATAATGAGACATAACTTATAGTCTAACAGAGAACATAATATGACACACGGTATCTTAATGCAGTGTAAGAAGTGGCTAAGTGCTATCAAATAAATAGAGAGATATGGGAGCTCCAAAGAAGATATTATTTACTTCCACTGAGCACAATTACAAGGTTAGCACTAATTTAGTTCCATCACTAGGCTTTGGACAGCAAAGGACAGATATTAAGGCAGAAGGGATAGGAAAAGGAAGATACAGAGGCAGAATGCCTGAGATACATGAGCAGATTCTACTACAATCCTCAATAACTACCTGAGTTCATTTAATCATTAATGTTAATACATCTTAATGTTCAATTAACAAAATCTGAAACTAAGAAATAGGTTACCTTTCAGCTCCTGGTGGCAGACTTAATCCAACTATTTGTGTATTTGATTCCCTGTGCACTTCTGGCAGTATTCCTGAAGTTCTAAAATGGCTTCCATAAGGAAGAGGTTTTTTTCTTTTATCCAAGATACACTCAAAATCTATAAGAATGTACAGGAATCAACAGTATTGATTAGTGAATTCTTAAAGGTAAAAGTTTGACATATATTTTAAATATATGTACGTGTATACAGACATGTATACATGTATGTCTACACACACACACACACACACACACACACACACACAAGAATGATGTACCTCCCTAATTATTCAATTTATTTTATAAGATCTTGTCCAATGGTCTCTTTGAAAGTCAAACAATAAAAATCAATCAGCAAAAAAGATGCTANTCTTTGATCCATTTCGAGTTTACTTTTGTGTATGGAATTAGAGAGTAATCCAGTTTTATTCTCTTACATGTAGCTGTCCATTTTTGCCAACACCAGCTATTGAAGAGGCTGTCATTTCCCACTGTACATCCATGGCTCCTTTATCATATATTAATTGATCATATATGCTTGGGTTAGTATCTGGACTCTCTATTCTGTTCCACTGGTCTATGGGTCTATTCTTGTACCAGTACCAAATTGTCTTGATTATTGTGGCTTTGTAATAGAGCTTGAAGTTGGGAAGCAGGATCCCTCCTGCTTTATAAATGATTTCACTTATCTGTGGAGTATAAGAACAAAGCAAAAACTGAAGGAACAAAACACCAGCAGACTCACAGAACCCATGAATGGACTAACAGTTACCAAAGCGAAAGGGATTGGGGAGGATGGGTGGGAAGGTAGGATAAGGGGGAATAAGGGGCATTATTATTAGCACATATGATCTAGGCCGTGGGGATATGGGGAAGGCAGTATAACACATAGAAGACAAGTAGTGATTCAATAGCATCCTACTACACTGATGGACGGTGACTATAATGGGGTATGTGGTTGGGGACTCGATAATAGGGGGAGTCTAGTAACCATAATGTTCATGCAATTGCACATTAATGATAGCAAAAGAAAAAAGAAAAAGAAGAACACTTTGGAGTGTAAATATTTGTTGAATGGCTAAGTGAATGAAATGCATGACAGAGGAAGACCAACTACATGCCTAACTAGGGCCAAAGCAAAATTATTCCTAAGAAGATGGTGATGGATAACCATTAGACTGAATATACTGTTAGAAAAGTTTTTCAACAAATCATTTATGAGCATATGCAAAAGTTCTGTTTCAGTCTTACAGGACAAAACATTTCTGGTAAGTCATTTCAAAAATTCATTTTTACTAGGGACATTTTATAAGAATAATAGATGGTTAGAAATCATTATTAGACTAGGTTTAAAAAATACAAGAATACTTTTTGAGTATTCTGGTCCTCTGCTGTACTACATATTTCACATGAGAAGCAAAGCTAAGTGAAATTCTTTCTTTCAAAAACAGGATTCTTAAGGGAGCACTTTTTATCTTTTATGTTTCCAGAAAGTGTACAAACAGGATGTTTATCTACAATCCCAAAAAGGGAGACTGGAAAGATCTGGCACCAATGAAAACCCCTCGTTCCATGTTTGGAGTAGCAGTCCATAAAGGCAAAATTGTGATTGCAGGAGGTGTCACGGAAGATGGCCTTTCAGCTTCAGTTGAAGCTTTTGACCTCACAACCAATAAGTGAGTTGCTATATCTTACTACAGCATAGGAATCATATACTTAATTTTTAACTTTGGATCAAAATTAAGCTTTCTAATTAGGACCTTGGGAGAAGAGTGCAGAGAGGCAAGAATTAAAGAGAAAATATCTTCATCTGGATTTCTTTTGCTGTTACTGGGTGTTACAACATTTCAATGCATAACTTTTTAATGAATTATGTGTCTTTATTATTTGGAACACATGACCCTCAACAATGCCAGAGTAATAAAGAGCTACCCAATGACTAACTCATTCTAGACTCTTGATACTTCCAACTAATTTGATTGATTTTATCTTTAGTTGTCCTTTTTCACATGGCTGTTAATATTAAAAAGTTCCCTTAAATCCTCTATTTAAAAAAATGAAGTACAAATTATTAAAAGAGAAATTTTCCAACCCTAGTTTCTAAACAAGGATAATATAAGGATAATCATATGACTTCATTGCAAAAGATTTGGGGATGTGATGAGGAAATGATGGAGATCAGTTTAAAAATTTGTGTTAGCATTCAAATGAAATTCAACACAGTAGGCCCTAAAACGGCCAAGCCCCAGTTTATGGCAGAACAATTTGTTAACCACTGCCAAAGGTGCTGAGGAAGTATTGTAGGATTGACATATTGAGGACTTTCTATCTAATCTGGCTATATTTTTCAAATAAAGGAATGTCTACATATTTTGTAGTAGCAAACATTATCATCTAATACTGGATGTCTATGCTACTTGAATTTTTAAATTATAATAGCCTATAATTGTTTAGTAAATGCATTTGGCATTTAAGTTTTACATGAACTATATTTTGAATTATTTTTAGATGGGAAGTAATGACTGAATTTCCCCAAGAAAGAAGTTCCATCAGTTTGGTCAGCCTGGCTGGATCCCTATATGCCATTGGCGGTTTTGCAATGATTCAACTGGAGTCCAAAGAGTTTGCACCCACTGAAGTCAATGACATATGGAAGTAAGTTTTCACTCCAATTTTCTGAATAAAATATTACATCAAGTAACTGATAAAAAATTTTGAAATAGTAAGCCAGACTTTCTCAGCCTGCATTCTTGGTAGTAGACTAAATACTCTTTGAACCTAATTGAACTTTTGTACTTACTTGATCAAGTACTGCTTCTAATTAGCTTTGAACTTGAAAAAGAACTTATCTAAGCCTGTTTCTTAATCAGTAAAATGAGAGGTGGAACTGTTGATCTTTCAAGCTCCCTTCCACCTCTAAAAGTATAATGCTCTAAGCATCCAGTAGAGCAAAAGCTACTTTCAAACCACTTACCTATCAGAGAGTACTTTATTTCTTATGAAAAAAAGAGTTCTGAATAACCATTTAACCCCTTGAGTTTCCCACGAATTAAGTAATCCTATTTTGAATCTAATTTAAATAGTTTTCCAATTTTTAAAAGGTCCTTCAAGTATGACACTTGCAATTGTTACTAAACTGAACTGTTTTACAGTTAGTCTTAAAATGAATGTAGTATTTAAAAAGAACGGGGGAGTGGATTTTACCATAGTTCCTAATGCAGCGAATGTCAGAAGGAGACCAGGGTATATCCAGGAAGTCTTGGGAGCAGACATGTAAGTTGTGTCAGGGTGAGTCATATAGTCAGGACAGGCTGTGCAGTGTGTGGATGCCTGGTCAAAATTAGGACACCGCACATGTCTGCCAAATGCTGCCTGTTGCCTTTAGCCCAGGCATTGAGCTTGCTGACGTAAGTTTGTAAGAGGTAGATGTCAGTTGCTTGAGGTGAGCCTAAGTTCATACTGCACACTCATCCAGAAACTGCCAAACTTAGGCTTTCCCTCTCAGCTTAAAGGCCAACCCCCACTCCGAAGGCCGGAATGCTTTTACCTGGCCAGTCAGATCATCCAGAACTTAGGTACTCAAAGTATGGTCCGTGGACCAGCAGTATTGGCATCTCCCGGGTGCTTCTTTGAAATGCAGAACCCCGAGCGCACCCCACAGCTACTCAATCAGAATCTTCATTTCAACAGATTTCCAGGTGACCTACCTGCACTAAAGTTATAGGTCCAGCTTTGGAAGAGTGGTCAGTAAAGGTGTACCACTAAGCATGAGAGAGAAAAGTGGCTATTATTGGTTCTGTATCAGAACCAGCCCATGTCTTATTCCCAGCTTATGAACTGGAAGGCTGAAAGGCCAGTAGCTTAAACAAACAATTATTTTGTGTATCAGACATAATTTCCGTATCTTGTAATAGTAAGTAGTTGCATAGAGGGCAAGAAAAAAGTAGTTATAGAAGAAAGTTAACCTCTGTCTTGCCAATGGGTTTCAGCCCCAGACAAGGTCACTATGGATTCAGTGAGACTGAAAAAATGACAGTGGAATGTTTTTGGGGTGAAAGGGTTATACCCAACTTTATTCCCACGGTGGCAGGTCAATCACTAAAATCCCATCCACTCAGAGTAAGTCTGCGTGCAGCAAGCCGGTCTCTGCTCTCCCGCAGCCGTCACCCAGAGCACTGGGTGGAGCTCTTTATATAGAGTCAGTAACAACATACTGCCCACATGTATGTAGTGAGCCAGCTGACCAGGGCCAGACGAGAATCCTGGCCACAGGAGCCCTCACTTTCTCCAGTCTCCTCCCAAAAAAGAAAGAGGAAAAGAAAGAGCCTGGAAATTTCCAGGGAGAAAAAAGGCTAGACTTAGCAAGAGGGTAAAATGGGTAAAGGATGGAAGTAGTGTAAAAAGAAAAAAAAGGGATGAAATGATGGAGGGCTGGAAAGGTTAGGGTGTTTGGAAAACAGGAATAGGTATCTGTGAAGAGGCAGTGATTCTCAACCATGGCTATACCTTAAAATCACCTACGATGTTTTTAAAATGCACCAGTGCTTGGGCCTTAATGCAGACCAATTCGATCTTCTGGAAGTAAGGCCTGGGTATCACTATTTCCTAAAACCTTCCCAGGAGATTCTAATGTGCAGCCAATTGAGAAACGCTGATGTTAAGGGTGGTGCTGTCAGTCAGCTGAGCCCCGCGTGAGCCACTTGGTTCCTGATGGTGGTCAGAAAGCCAAAGCACTTCAGCAATAGAAGCTGTAGGCAGCAAAAGAGGTGCAGCATGTTCTGCTCAAAGTAGCCCTTTTATTGCTGAAAGAGGGATTCTCTGTATCAATTATTTTACAATTAGGGCAGTGGTTCCCAAATTTGCTTGCTCATTGGAATCACCTAGGGAACTTCAGCAAGTATTGATGCCTCGGTCCCACCTCCTTTGATTGTGATTTAGCTGGTCTGATAAGTGGTCTAGGCTTTCAAACTTTCAAAAGATCCTAATGATTCTAATGTGCAGACAAGCTTGGGATGGGAAAAAAAGGGAGGCATATATAACGATCTACTTGACTATGAAAGTTTAAACTTAAGTATTGGTGTTTTCCATTTGGGTAATAAAATCTTAATCAGTAATTCTCAAACTTTGCTGCATATTAGGATCACTTCAAGAACTTAAAAAAATCCTCATGCCCAGGCTGTACTTCATACCAGTCAAACAACTCTCTGGGGGTGAGACCCAGGCATCAATATTTTTAGTATTTCCAGGTGGCTCCAATGTGCAAGTCATGTTTGACAACCAGTCATAGGCAGCACCAAGGTACTTAGATATGCAAATTCTTGGACCTCGCCTCAGACCTACTAAGGCCCAGCGATCTGTGTTCCAGCAGGCCTGCAGGTGACTCTTGGGTATGTGCTGGAGCTGAGTGCCACTGATCTGGAGAAAGGTGGCTGTCCCCTTACCACTTTCTCTACTCACACAGCAGAGATAAAAATAAGAGATGAAAACTATGAGTATTCTACATTCTACAATATAGACCTTCTTACTGTGATGTGTAAAAAAATTTCCATTCTTGTATTTTTTTCTTGAAATCCATCAGCCCATTATTTAGGATTGGTCAAGCTTAAAGTAAAAATGTCACTGCCAAGAGACATGCTTTTAAGCCTCATTTAATGTCGACCTCCTATTGCTTAAATGCAGTTGCTTTTTTATTAGGTGTCTTGCCTCAGGCAAGTTATTGGTGTTTCAGCCCCAGGCAAGTTCACTATGGATTCAATGTGACCAAAGAAATGACAGAAGGTTCTAGGGTGAAAGGGTTATACCCAACTTTATTCCCACAGTGGCAGGTCATTCACTAGAATCCCGTCCACTCAGAGTGAGTCTGCATGCAGCAAGCGGTCTCTGCCTCTAGGCCCCTCAGCCCACACAGCCATCCCAGTCTCTGTCCTTGGCATTGCCACCACTCCAGCCCTTACTCTGCTCTCTTGCAGCCTTGCAGCTGTGTCACCGTGCTGCAAAGAGCACTGGGCGGAGATAGAGTCAATAACAATGTATCGCCCACACGTGTGTAGTGAGCTAGCCAGCCGGGGCCAGGTGAGCATCCTGGCCATAGGAACCTTCACTTTATTCACACTCTTATTAGTGGTAAAATATTTTTTGTCTACATTCTTTACATAAAAATTACTTGGTGTACAGCACCAATTAAATTTGGACCATTGATGAAATTGTCAACACCTATCTCACAGAGGTATCAGCTAATTTTAAAAATTATTTTAAATCTCATTCATTCATCATAGAACCATTTGGAGTATTTCCTGTGTGCCAAGTGTTTATAGCTTCAGAAAGAGGGAAAACACTAAGATGAATAAGAAATATTATTTGCCCTCCAATACCTTTGAGCTTGGTGAGGACATAAACATAGGGAAAAAACTAAAGAATGATAATTGCCATTGGAGATAATGTGAGAAATGAGTAGAATGCAAGGAACTCTGCCTGAGGGAGGCAAGAAAGGTTTCCAGTGAGAAGGCAGTGCTGAGGTTCTCATGCGGAGTGCATGCCAGGCACCGAAGAAGAGAGGCATTTATCTTTCAGAGTTATTCAAGTTGTCTGTGTCTCTATGACCCTGAGTATTCAGAAAGGATGACTACCTTACATAAAGTGCAGTTTAAGAACACACAGGGCAATAAAGAGGAAGGAGGACAGATTCTTAGGGAGTAACCACTAGTGCCCTGCTGGGCAGCAGTGTGTAGGAACAACTGGTACGGTCAGGCGACTAGCAGTCCCTGCTCCTCCCAGTTCTTACTCTTAAGGTGGAATCTGCTGACTTTGACTCACAGACACCCACCATCTATATTGCCCAAAGATGAATGATTAATTGCATAACTGTCTTACTCCTTATGTCTGGATAGTCTTTAATTCCCAGAGAAGGCTTAATCATCTAAGCATCCAGATTAAACATCAAGGCAGTAGTTCAGACATATGCTCATTCACGGAATTCATATTTGGAGAGGAATCCAAGTGTTAGTCTGCCAGTCATATGCATGGTCCTCTGGGTAAGAGCCAGTAGGGTTTTCTTAAAGATCCACATTTGCATATTTAACACAGGGAAACCTATAGAATTATCTACTTAAAAACTGCTTATTGATTACTTTTTTTCTCCATCAGGTATGAAGATGATAAAAAAGAATGGGCTGGGATGTTGAAGGAAATACGTTATGCTTCAGGAGCTAGTTGCCTGGCAACACGTTTAAACCTGTTCAAACTGTCTAAACTATAACCGAGAAGGTAAAAAAACAGAATAGAATAGGAGGTGGTTTGTTTAAAAAATAGGGCTTTAATTTATTCTGTCTTTTAAAAGCCTACACGGAGATTCATGCAGAAATTATTCACTAAAGTATTGTCCAAAAGATTAAAAGTGGTTATCAAAAAGTTATTGAGTCTTCAATATAATGATCAGAGTTTAAAACCATTTTTTAATAAAAATTAAATGTTGGACAGATTATTTCCTTTGTTATCACTCAATTTATTGTAAAGGAGGTTCCTAATATAAATTGTTTACTAATGCTTTCATTTGCATTGTTAGAGTATCTTTACACTCATTTTCTATTAATAATGAAGTTGGAGGATGAAATACATACATCTATGTTATTTTAAATGTTCAAAATATCAAATATCAAAAACCCTTCCCTCGTGCTTTGAGATATGACAAGAATCTTGTGCATTATGTTGAAGAGTGATGTCAAAACAGAACTTTGGAACTGCTATTTAAGGTCTAAAATAAATCAGTCTCATTTGAAGAGGAAAAGTCTCTAAGTAAAAGTGATCAAATTCAAGTAGTCCCTCTTTTTTCTCCATTCTCTTTGTGACACTGGCATATTGTTTGTGATTTAAGTCAAATTTTTATATTTTTAAATTTAAAACCAGTAAATCAGTCTTCAAAACCATAATATATCCTATCCCCCATTCTGAATTTCTCTCCATAGCATTTAATATCATCTAAAGTAAAATATACTTTATTCATTTATTTTGACTAACACCCATGGCAGATATGTTATAGTCACTGCTGTGTCCCCAAGCATCTAAAACAATTCCTGGCACATAGTATGGACTTAAAGAATAAACTGCAGTTTCTTAAAAGCCACACATCTTTTCTGTTAAGAATTTTAAACAATTTCCCAATCAGATACTAGACGAAGTATTCCATTATAAAATGTCTATTTATTTTAATAGGTATGTAATTTACCTTAAAATGAGTCAGTTCTATGCTATTATTTTTTAATTGAGTCAGGCCACTTAAAATTAAGTTCATATGTGCCACACCATGATAGCTAATTTTAAATAAAAACTAAAATCATGATTTGCTTTCTCCAAATACACGGTCTCTCAGGTAGTCAATCCGAGCACCCTTTGTTGACAGTGCCATAGAGTTCCATTCAAAATGAGGGATCTGTAAAACAAACAATGTAGTTTGAATGGAGGTTTTAAAGCAACATCATGGAAGACTTATGTACTGACATGAGCGGGAGGAGCCTTGTGAAATTGGTTTCTATGAGCACAGCCTCTGGACCATTTTTGGAAGCCAGGTGGGCCCTTCTTCCAGCCAAAGTCCACAAGACCTATTTCTGCCTTGCAGCCCCTGTCATTCTCCTGTTCCTATAATACCAACAATGGACATTTTTTCCCCTACATACCTTTCCTATATTCATATACTACCCTTTATCTCTTATAATTCTATCCATCTCCACAGTGCCTCGCTCTCGTAAGGTAAACATAAAAATCAACAGATCTTCTAGACAATTATTTTTATTTATTATTCTTAAAAAAATGGAGACCTATTCTGTTTCAGAGATATTTTAATGTAACTTTTAATATTTAAAAACATAATTCTAGAACTTTCATATTAAAAGGAAACATGTATGAATAATGACTCTGGGTTTTTTAGAAGCTTAATTACATGAATACTTCGTACCTGAATTACACGATAGCCCAAAATTTCCAAATGTCGTTTTTTTGTAGCAGATTTTCCTTTTAAGTGAGGGATGTTTCTACAGAAAGCTTTTGAATCCAAAAATTCCAAAGCAATCCTATAGAAGATTTTTAAAAATACTTACTTCTGAAATCAAAAAATGAGAAACTGAATATCACAAGCCTTTCAGGAATAAGATTGTATCTTTATAAACTAACAAAAGCCCAATGAATATAAATAAATATATCAAGTTATTTTTCTATTTATATTAGTAATATCTGACAAGTAAATCTATTCATTGGAATTTACACCAAATTATAGTATCTCCATGCTTTCATCCATTTGTTTCTTTGTCCAATATATATTTATTATGCACCTACTGTATGTAAGGCACTGTGAAGGATAAAGAGATAATGAGACATAACTTATAGTCTAACAGAGAACATAATATGACACACGGTATCTTAATGCAGTGTAAGAAGTGGCTAAGTGCTATCAAATAAATAGAGAGATATGGGAGCTCCAAAGAAGATATTATTTACTTCCACTGAGCACAATTACAAGGTTAGCACTAATTTAGTTCCATCACTAGGCTTTGGACAGCAAAGGACAGATATTAAGGCAGAAGGGATAGGAAAAGGAAGATACAGAGGCAGAATGCCTGAGATACATGAGCAGATTCTACTACAATCCTCAATAACTACCTGAGTTCATTTAATCATTAATGTTAATACATCTTAATGTTCAATTAACAAAATCTGAAACTAAGAAATAGGTTACCTTTCAGCTCCTGGTGGCAGACTTAATCCAACTATTTGTGTATTTGATTCCCTGTGCACTTCTGGCAGTATTCCTGAAGTTCTAAAATGGCTTCCATAAGGAAGAGGTTTTTTTCTTTTATCCAAGATACACTCAAAATCTATAAGAATGTACAGGAATCAACAGTATTGATTAGTGAATTCTTAAAGGTAAAAGTTTGACATATATTTTAAATATATGTACGTGTATACAGACATGTATACATGTATGTCTACACACACACACACACACACACACACACACACACACACAAGAATGATGTACCTCCCTAATTATTCAATTTATTTTATAAGATCTTGTCCAATGGTCTCTTTGAAAGTCAAACAATAAAAATCAATCAGCAAAAAAGATGCTAGCGTGAGAGGTGAGACAGAGGCCTCTTCCCCAAACCACATATAATATGAAAATATAGTTAATACAACTAATCCTGAAAAAGCAATAGGAGAGAAGGCTGCGCCAGTCTTCATACACCTGGAGAAAAGAACACACTTCACAGAACAGGGCAAAATACCAAAGCTATGATCTGGTGACCCAAGCCCTTCCCCCACCCCAGTTCACCAGTGGGAGGAAGAGAAATGGAGCAGGGAGGCAGGTGGAGGCCTAGGACTGCTGAACACCCAGGCCTGGTGATCTGTTTTGGGAGCACAAACCTACACTGCATGGTGCTCTGGAGATTAGAAGGGTTGGAAAGCTAATACAGGCAGAATACCTGGAGAGACTGAGATTCTAGCCGCTTGCAGAAAGCAGGGATCCACATCCGGCTGCTCGGGTACAAAAGAAAGGTGTGCAGTCTGAGAGACTTCCTAACAGCAAGCAGGCTGTTAAAGGGGCAAGGAGCTTGCTGCTCATGAGAAAGGACAGGTGGACAAAATTGAATTTGGGAATGAGATTCAATTGTTAAAGAATACAGAATCTGATGAAACATACAATGGAGGGATTTAAAAGCAGATTAGGTATAGTAGAGGAGGCAGTAAATGGAATATGAATTGGAGAAGAGGAATACAAAGAAGCTGAGGCACAAATAAAAAAAGGATCTCTTGGAATTAAAGAATATTGAGAGAACTGTGTGACTAATCCAAATGGAACAATATTCACATTATAGGAGTACCAGAAGAAGAAGAAGAGAGAGAAAAAAGATAGCAAGTGTCTTTGAGGAGGTAATTGCTGAAAACTTCCCCAATCTGGAGAAAGAGATAGACTCTCAGGATATGGAAGTGCACAATCTCCCAACAAAACGGACACAAGGAAGACAACCAAGACATATAATAATTAAAATGACAAAGATCAAGGATAAGGACAGACTTTTAAAAGAGAGAGGAAAAAGATCACATACAAAGGAAACCCATCAGGCTATCATCAGGCTTCTCAGCAGAAATCTTATAGGCCAGAAGGGAGTGGGAGGATATATTTAATGCAATGAAGCAGAAGGGCCTCCAACCAAGAATACACAACCTGGCAAGGTTATCATTTAAATTTGAAGCAGGGATTAAACCATTTGCAGAAAAGCAATAGCTGAGAGAATTTACCTCCCACAAACTGCTTCTACAGTGTATTTTGGAGGGACTGCTATAGATGGAAGTGTTCCTAAAAATAAACAACTGTAACCAGAGGAAATAAAACCACAGTAAAAAAAGTAGAATAATTAATCACTAAGCAGATGCAAACTCAAATCAACTACCCCCAAACTCAGTCAAGGGATAGAAAAAGAATACAGAATATGATACCAAATATACAAAAAATGAAGGAGGAAGAAAGAGGAGGGAAAAAATCCATTTAGATTGATTTTGTAATAGCATACTAAGTGAGTTATATTAGACTGTTAGATAGTAAGTAAATTACCCTTGAACCTTTAGTAATCATGAATCTAAAGTCTACAATGGCAACAAGTACAAACCTATCAATAATCACCCTAAATGTAAATGGTCTGAAAGCACCAATCAAAAGACACAGAGTCACGGAATGGATAAAAAAAAGACCCATCAATATGCTGCCTACAGGAGACTCACTTTAAACCCAAAGACACACACACAATAAAAGTGAAGGGATGGAAGATAATACAGGGAGAAAAAGCAGAAGTTGCAGTACTTGTTCTCACACAAAATAGACTTCAAAACAAGGAAAGTAACAAAAGACAAAGAAGGACACTGCATAATGATAAAGGAGTCAGTCCAACAAGAGGATATAACCATTATAAATATCACCCAACACAGGATCACCTACATATGTGAAACAAATACTAAAGGGGGAAATAGAATGCAATGCAAAGCATTCATTTTAGGAGACTTCAACACAGCACACACTCCAAAGGACACATCAACCAGACAGAAAATAAGTAAGAACACAAAGGCACTGAACAACACATTAGAACAGATGGACGTAGTGGACATCTACAGAACACTCCACCAAAAGCAGCAGGATACACATTCTTCTCAAGTGCACATGGAACACTTTGCAGAATAGGTCATATAGTAGGCCACAAAAAGAGACTCATTAAATTCAAAAAGACTGAAATTGTACCAACCAGCTTCTCAGATAACAAACATAAGAAACTAGAATTAAATTATGCAAAGGCAACAAAAAAGCCCACAAACATATGGAGATGTAACAACATGCTTCTAAATAATCAATGGATCAATGACCAAATAAAAACAGAGATCAAGCAATATATGGAGGCAAATGACAACAGTAATTCAACACTGTAGTATCAGTGGGACGCAGTGAAGGCCATGTTAAGAGGGAAGTATACTGCAATACAGGCCTACCTCAGGGAAGAAGAACAATGCCATACGAACCAACCAAACTCACAATTAACAAAACTAAAGAAGAAAAAATGAAGCCCAAAGTCAATAGGAGGGACATAATAAAGATTAGAGAAGAAATAAATAAAACTGAAAAGAATAAAACAACAGAAAGAATCAATGAAAGCAGGAGCTGGTTCTTCTATAAAATAAACAAAAGAGATAAACCCCTAGCCAGACTTAGCTAGAAAAAAAGAGTCTAAATACATAAACAGCATCAGAAATGAGGAAGGAAAAAAATCACTATTGACACCACAGAAATACAAAGAATTATTAAAGACTATGAAAAATTATATGTTAACAAACTGGACAACCTAGAAGAAACAGACAACTTTCTAGAAAAATACAACCTTCCAAGGCTGATCCAGGAAGAAACAGAAATCTGAACTGATCAATTACCAGCAATGAAATTCAACTACTAATCAAAAAACTACCTAAGAACAAAACCCCTGGACCAGATGACTTCATGATTGATTTTTTATCAAACACTTAGTGAAGAATTAATACCCACCATCTTCAAAGTTTTCCAAAAAGTAGAAGAGGAAGGAATACCTCCAAACTTATTCTATGAGGCCACCATCACTCTAATACCAAAACCAGACAATGACACCACAAAAAAAGAAAATTACAGACCAGTATCCCTGATGAACATAGATGCAAAAATACTCAAAAAAATATTAGCAAATCAAATTAAAAAATACATCAAAAAGATCATCCAGCATGATCAAGTGGGATTCATCCCAGGGAAGCAAGGATGGTACAACATTCATAAATCCATAAACATCATCCACCACATCAACAAAAAAGACAAAAAGCACATGATCATCTCCACAGACGCCAAAAAAGCATTTGACAAATTCAACATCCATTCATGATAAAAACTTTCAACAAAAAGGGTACAGAGGGCAAGTACCACAACATAATAAAGGGCATATATGACAAACCCACAGCCAACATCATACTTAAAAGTGAGAAGCTGAAAGCTTTTCCTTTAAGATCAGGAACAAGACAAGGATGCCCATTCTCCCTTCTTTTATTCAACATAGTTCTGGAGGTCCTATCAACAGCAATCAGACAACACAAAGAAATAAAAGGCATCCAGATTGGTAAAGAAGAAGTTAAACTGTCACTGTTTGTAGATGACATGATATTGTACATAAAAAACCCTAGAGGATACACTTCAAAACTACTAGATCTAAAATCTCAACTCAGCAAAGTTGCAGGAAACAAAGTTAACACACAGAAATCTGTGATATTCCTATACACTAACAATGAGCTATCAGAAAGGAGAATAAGGAAAACAAAACAATTCCATTTACAACTGCATCAGAAAGAATAAAACACCTAAGAATAAACCTAACAAAGGAAGTGAAAGACCTATACCTGCAAACTACAAGACATTCATGAGAGAAATTAAAGAAGATACCAATAAAAGGAAATACATCCCGTGCTCATGGAAAGGAAGAAATATTGTTAAAATGGCCATCCTGCTAAAAGCAATCTACAGATTCAATGCAATCCCTATCAAAATACCAACAGCATTCTTCAACAAACTAGAGCAAATAGGTCTCAAATTCATATGGAACCACAAAAGACCTCGAATAGTCAAGCAATCCTGAGAAGGAAGAATAAAGAAAGTAGGGGGATTATGCTACCCAACTTAAAGCTCTACTATGAAGCCACAGTAATCAAGACAATTTGGACTGGCACAAGAACCAATCCATAGATCAATGGAACAGAAGAGAGATCCCAGGTATAAACCCAAGCATAAAGGAGCCATAGCTATATAATGGAGAAATGACAGCCTCTTCAACAACTGGTGTTGGCTAAAATGGACAGCTATACGCAAGAGAATGAAACTGGATTGTCTAACCCCATACACAAAAGTAAACTCAAAATGGATCAAACACTTGAATGTAAGTCATGAAACCATAAAACTCTTAGAAGAAAATATAGGCACAAATCTCTTCAACATAAACATGAGCAACTTTTTCATAAATGCACCTCCTTGGGCAAGGGAAACAAAAGCAAAAATGAACAAAAGGGACTACATCCAGCCAATAAGCTTCTGTACAGCAAAGGACACCATCAGCAGAACAAAAGAGGTGCTTTAGTATGGGAGAATATATCTGTAAATGACATATCCAACAATGAGTTAACATCCAAAATATATATGCCTCAACACCCAAAAAGAAAATAACCTAATTAAAAATGGGCAGAGGATAGGAACAGATACTTGTCCAAAGAAGAAATTCAGATGGCCAACAGGCACATGAAAAGATGCTCCACATCACTAATTATC